GAAATTGTAGCCATTGGCTGTTTGAAGCTCAGGTAAAAGTGGAAAATAAAGCAAAATAAAGTCGAACTTGAAGCGAAATGCATTTTTGTCTATATTTAAAATTAGACAAATCTAATATTCTTGATTTTATTTATCGGATTTTATCTGCAGGACTAATTGAAAAAGAAAAGCGTGTCTGTCAGCGCGTTGATAATAATTCTTTGTTTCAATGTTAACATCGGCTTCTTACGTTTGGCGACAAGATTTTTAAGAATTAGTTGATAAATATTCAAAATGTTTGGCCTTGAATTTAAAATAATTGACTTCTTATTTCTTTTAAAATTTTCTTTTTCCTCATCAATATTTTTGTGAATGTTTACGCAAATTTTTGTCAGTCACGAACAGAAAAAATACATCCATCATTTTGATTGCTTTCATTACAATACATAAAAGTGCTAAATCTTCTTCAGATGTCGAGGTCGTGATGTTCTTTAACACAATGTCAATTCACATAGTTTCGTTTAGTGATGTTAACATCAATTCCAGTTGCTTAAGCAATATCAGAATCCTGATTTTTGTAACCTCGTAGTGTCGCTGGTACACACCACTGCTACCATAGTAGCAGTGGTGTGTTTTAAGGCCAGACGAAGCTCACCCCCTCTTCAGGTATCCTTTAAAATCAGCGTTGTTTTTCATGTAGAGTGATTGCTGTTCAAAGATTAAATAACCACGTAGGATCTCTCTTATTGACGAGGGGCTTTACATTCGATTTCCTTCCCCTAGACTGGTTGTCAGCCAAGGCAAAAGAACCGAATCTGCTCTGCTAATTAAACTCATAATTACAGAAAAGCGGATTCATACCTTTTCCAAGGGCATTAGTACAAAGTGAATGAATTTGATTCCAATTTCCACGCCGATAACTGTTACATTGCCTGAACATCCTATTTGAATGTTGTTTTCTTAATTGGGCGGAACTCACTACACCTAAAATCTCAATGGTTTTTCAAATAATGATAGTCATAATGACTGATTTTAGAATTTCTGATACAACTCTGGCAGAAATAAATCCAGTTATTTCTATCCAAGGCAACCCGCTCGGCTGCCTTCCAGCAATATGGCTGATGCTACCCTCCAGAAAATGGACTTGTTGCGCCTTCTCTGTCCAACGTTCTCAGTTGACATGAAGTTAAAAGACTATATTGAATCCATTGCTAGGTCAGCTGCTAGAAAAGTCGGTTCACTGTGCAGTGTGAAACAATTTTTTCTCTCCGGAATCTATCTTGCATACCTATAAGTCTACCATTCGCTCATGTTTAGAATATTGCTGACATATGGTCCGGTTTCCCTGCTGTTTACCTGGAGCTCCTTGATAAAATCCAAAGAGGAATCAGCAATATTATTGGTCCTGATCTGGCGGCTCGGCTTCAGTTACTTGCCCACCGCCGTAAAGTTGCCTCTTTATAAATACTTTCATGGTAATTGTTCCGATGAGCTCTTCGCCATGTTACCTAGACTGGATGAATTTAAGTGCAATACTAGACTGACGGCGAGTTCTCACCAATTTACAGTTGAGCCGGCTATAGATGTAACCGTAACTTTTATGCTGATAGTTTCTTTTTTTCGCACCTCTCGTCTGTGGAACTACCTTCAAGTCCCATGCTTTCCAGGCAAGTTTAATCTGCAAAATTTTAAATGCAATATCGACTGTCCTCCTGATTGCTATTTTCCCTTTCTGCTCATAATTAATGTTTATGTCCTTAATTCCTCCACACCCAGTAACCCCTTGCTTGTTAGTGGCTGTGGGGTGATACCGATTAAAAAAAAAAAGATAGTATCAGGCACAGTGACAGCTGAGAGTTTACTCTTTAGCTTGTCGTTATACTTGTCTCACAGCCGTCCAACAGTCTTTTGTCCACTGTCAAGGTGGCTATACATGAGGATCTTAGGTATATATATATGTAGAGAGAGAGAGAGAGAGAGAGAGAGAGAGAGAGAGAGAGAGAGAGAGAGAGAGATCCTTCCACATGCCTGAAGAGACTTTATGATCGAAGTCCTGGTTGCGAGGTTGGTTGGCATTTTTAGCCTTTATATTTATATATATATATATATATATATATATATATATATATATATATATATATATATATATATATATATCCGATGCAATGAGAACGAAAGTAATATATAAATTCAACATTCACAGCATTAATCCAAAAGAGGGCTCGATACCGATAGTAGAGCGATAACCATTTTCGATTCACACCCGTCGAAGTGCATTTGAAATGCACTGAAACCAAGTTGCATCTTTGTAGTGAGTAAAATGATTTTGTCTATATGATAAAAATTATAATATATATATATATATATATATATATAGGCCTACCAGAACGTCCTCGGACTTCCAGATCAGAATTTTTACGTCTGAGCCTAGCGAACCACTGACAAGCAGTGCACTCAGCTACGGCACCATCTACATAAATGGCATATCTATTTTTTTCCTGTTTGTGTAACGTCTTTCCCTTCTGGAAATAAAAAAAATCGATTGATGAAAATATATTACATTTTCCTCCTATTTTACTATTAACGAAAAACAGTTGCAATTCAAAATCCACACAGAAATCGTATATAAAGAGTTGAAAAGTCACCTTTCAGGATATATGTATATACGGAATAACTTTCTGTCGCGTATGAAACGAAATCACCTATCCAAACACCACATATTAAAAAAATGATCTTTTGTTCTTACCCAGTATATATGCACAAAAACAGACGGGTTTATATAATTTTGCATTCAGTTAAATCTATCAAATTTTATGATTTTTAAATCATTAAAAGTAAAAAAAATATGGAAATAAAGTTAGCATTAATTACTAATAAGATAATCAGATTGGCAGCTCATCTAAAAAGGACCTACATTCTGTTGTTAAACGAATTTGCTCTCTATTGTTCGTCTAAGTATAATCTTTTTGCTTTCCATCATCATGGCTGATGCTAACCTTAAATAGAGTGACTCATTGCACCTTCTCACGCTAACGTTTTCACTTGACATGAATTCGAGTGATTATATTGAATCAATTTCTACGTCTGCTGCTAGGGAATTTGGTTCACTGTGTTGTGCTAAATAAATCTCGCCAGAATCTATTTTTCATATTTATAAGTCAACCATTCGTCCTTTCATTGAATATTGCTGCTACATATGGTCTGGTGCTCCTGATATATATTTTGAGATCTTTTATAAAACTCAAATAAGAATCAGCAATATCATTGGTTCTTATCTGGCATCTCGACTTCAGTCCTTTTTACATGCGTCAAAATGTAGCTGTCCTGTACCTTTTTTATAAATACTTTCAAGAAAATTGCTCTGATGAACTTCTCTCTATGGTACCTAGATTCTATGAATTTAAGCGCAGTACTTAAGATCTCACGATTTTACAGTTGAATTGGCTAGATGTAACCGTAAGTTCTATGCTAACAGTTTCTTCTATCGCACTTCTCGATTGTGGAACTGTCCCGGCTTCTTGCTTTCCAGTCAATTTTGATCTTCAAAAATATAAATATAATGTCAAGCGTTATCTTATGTCTTCTTAATTCTTGTTTCTTCATTTGTATTCGCTCCTTAATAATTCTTTTTCTTATATTCATTCGTACTCAGTAACCCCATCTGCATCTCGGTTTTTGGGGGTGAAATGATTAAAAAAACATCCATGATCTCTTAATATGCAATATGTTAGCTTTCTGGCATCGAGCAATGTCGCCTGTTATTAGAAGAATGAAAGGTTACTGCGAAAAAGAGATCAACCAGGAGAGACATCAAATTATACTGTAGAATATCTGTGTTTGTGTGTGTGTAGAATGTGTGTGTGTATAGAATATATGTGTGTGCAAAATATGTTTGCGTGTGTGTATAGAATATGCGTGTGTAGAATATGTGTGTGTGTATAGAATATGTGCGTATGTATAGAATATGTGTAGAATATCTGCGTGTGCGTGTATAGAATACTTGTGTTTGTGGGTAGAATAGAATATGTGTGTATTTATAGAATATGTGTGTATTTATAGAATATGTGCGTGTAGAATATGTGAATGTGTGTGTGTGTCTATAGAATATGTAGAATCTGTGATATATATGCGTGTGTGTGCGTGCGTGTTTGTGTCTGTGTGTGTCTGTGTGTGTGTGAGAGAGAGAGAGTTTGTTAGCAGTGATGGAGAGTAAGGAAAAAACGCCAGACGATTCACAGCGAAACTTATTCAAAGTTAGAAAATAAAAATATTAATTTTTGATTCTGTCTAGTGGCTGAGATAGTTGGGGTTTTTTCGAACTGGCGCAAGACGTCAGTGTTGAAGGCCAACTAAAAGTCAGTGGTTTTTTTATACTGATTTTTTAGACAGGGAAGAACTCACCACTAGACGCAACGCAATCTTGCTATCCTAAATGTCTGTATATCGCAAGGAACGGGTGTTATCTCAAGGAGGATGCGACCTCCTTGAGTGCCGACTGACATTGAAGCTCATCGACACCTCAAATGAAATGTATATACGATTCATCGCTGAAGATGATAGGAAAATGACTCCAATCAATCCATGACTCTTCCTGTTCTGCCCAACCTTTACAAAAGCCAGTTCAGACCGAAAATAGAGTCGTGTGTCATATCTGTGCTGAATGCTCAGTCTTCACTTTCTAGTTTTAATAGAGTCCAAAAGCGTCTACGCGACCTTGGGTGTGATGAATTATTTCTCACCCCACAACCCATTTCTCACAGACGACACGTCACAAGCGTATCGCTACTCTATCGCTATTTCGATGAAAAATGTTCAGACGATTCATTTAGGGTCAAACCTCAGCCTCACCGCTAAGACCCGTCACATTGAGTGGGAGGCGAAGCACCCCTTACCCCCTTCATATTCCATTAGCCAGAAGTAATTTCTACCTGAATAGCCTCATCCTACGACACACTACTTTGTGGAAGCGACTCCCAAGACGATGCTTTCCTCACCACAATAATCTTAACCTCTTCAAGTCTTGGGTTAACCGTTAACTTTCACACATCTCGCCCTAAACATCGCCTCTTACTGCTTACTCTTACCGCTCATACAATAAAATCCGTCAGCAACCCTCTACCTATAGTGGCTCTTGGACCTTGTGTAAGGCCAACACGAGTAGAAAAATCTTTCGTCATACAGATCTAAGTAAATATATAAATAACAAATTCTCTCTTTCCCCATCTCTCTATCCCTTTTTCTCTCTCTTTCTCTCGCTTTCTCCCTCTCTTTTCTCTCTTCTTCCCCTCCCTCTTTCATATTACCATTTGAATTTCACCCATAGAAATATGTAGGGTGAGGATATGGTTAATCCATAACGGCAATTCAACACAAAACTTGGAGTTTATTTTAATCATTTAGTTTTAAAGTCAGAAATCCGTTTACTGAACAATGACAACAGAAAATTGTTCTACTTTCTGTTATCGAAACAAAAGCATTAACCTATTTATTTAAATTTTTATTAAATTCAGGATGTAAAAGAAATAATAAATTATGCCGCCATTTCAATGTTACCATGGTTACAGACAAAATTAATTTTTAAAGCTAAAATTATTCAATAAAAAATAACAGATTTTAAACTGTCGAACGTAAGAATTTCTTTTCGTTTGTAAATAATGCTGTTTGTTTTGTTAGATGACGCATTGGAGAACTTCTGCCACTGTTGGCATGGTTACGCTGTGTGGTTTCATGTAGCACTCAATAGTAATTTTAGAAAGTGCCGTAGCACAATGAGATAAAAGTTTGAAGATTTTCGACTGAACATCCCATCAACAATTTCGAAAGCCGAAAACCATGACCTTGTGTCAGACTTTAATAAATTCTCAAATTGTTTTTCTCCTTTTTCACGCTCTCTTTTATCAACGTTCATTCTACTACATTTTTTTTAATTCTCCCTCGGTTTCCTTTTTCTATTTTATACTTCTCTCTGTTCTCTCTCTCTCTCTCTCTCTCTCTCTCTCTCTCTCTCTCTCTTTCACTGGCTTCCTTCTGTGATGACTATTTTTTCTCTATCACTCCCTTTTCTTTTCTATTTGCATGATCTCTTTCTCTCTTTTTATGTGCCTCTTTTTCTATTCTTCCCGTGCCTTCTCTCTAAATATATTTTACTTCTTCACTTTCCATTTATTCTGGTGCTAGACGCAGGCGTGAGCATGCGCACGTGTGTGTGTGTGTGCGTGTGTGTGTGTGTGTGTGTGTGCGTGTGTGTGTGTGTGTGGTTGAAGAATTCATGAAATAATCGGCTGCTTCCAGCAATCGGTATTTGATCCCAGGTGAAAATATTTACAATGCTGATTTTCAAAGCAGATAGACTTCGAAGATTAGCGCAACAAAGACCTCGACTGAATCAAGTTTTATTTTTCACGTTTTATTTTTGCTATATATTTCTAGGGATTCATCGTCTTTCAAAATAACAACCAGTAAAAAAAAAAAAAGCAATATGTGCATGTCTGCTCATCGTGACCAAGGAATATAGGAAATTTCTCACCTCGGCCAAGAAGGAAATTTAAAGTTCGGATATTTCGACATTTGGCCAGTTTTGGAGAATTCGGTACAGCTGAAAACTTTCCAGTACTCCCAAAGAGAAAATTCGACACCATTACGGCGCGTTATAACACAAAACAACTGCTAAGCAAGTCTCATAAAAATAGCGACCGAAAACACCATGGTCACAGATTTTGGATGAAGAGGAATGTTGACAAAATAGCTGAATGCTATATCAACACTGATATCAAAACTGAATGGCGACAGTCTGTTTGATGTTTTAACCTCATGTTTGATGTACTAACCTCAGTGTACACTTTTATATTTGCACCCGTCCTATGCCTGATATCGAGCACTTTTACCCATAAATACATCATAACTTAAAATTATATATATATATATATATATATATATATATATATATATATATATATATATATATATATATATATATGAAATTAAACGTGTAAATTAATTAAGGATGACTAATGAGGGGAAATTTTTTAGAGACCAATAATATTCAGACCAACAAAAAATCCCTCTGGTTGTCTGTCCCTCTGGATCTGATATATAAGGACTCCAGGATCTTGAGATGAAATAAAAGAGTGGGACCTTGATTATATATATATATATATATATATATATATATATATATATATATATATATATAGGGGGGGGGGGGCCTGTATGTATACAATTCACATATAAATAAACGCATCCGCAAAGACAAAGAGAAACATTATCAGAAAAAAATGTTGAATAAAATAAAATGTCTACAATTGCCCTGATATATATATATATATATATATATATATATATATATATATATATATATATATATATAAATGCAAAAATATAGTTTTGAAGTGTGCCATATTTATGGGATAAAGTGCTCAATATCAGAGATAAAGCGTATGTAAATATTAATATAAAAGTGAACATTGAATTCAACACTTAGAGACGACAAGCTGTTTCATGCTAGAAGCAATCGTCATGCCGCGGGTGTTGGATTTTTCTCGACAAATTTATATGTATGGGTCAGTGGTGCATTGTGGTAATCCATCCTGGCGTGTATTTTGGCGTGAGTGGCTTATTTATTTATTTATTAAAATTGCGAAATCATAGATATATATTTACTGCACGAACTAAGTAAAATAATAGATAAAATAATACAGAACTCTACAGGGACGACGGTCTCATAATCTTAAGAAACTATAACAAACAAACCACAGACAAAACTAGAAAAGCAATAATAAAGATTTTCAGAAATAACGGATTTGACAATAGATATAAAAACTAACCTAAACAAAGTAGATTTTCTAAATGTTACCTTCAACCTAAGAAAAGGCACATATAAACCACACAGAAAAACCAATGATAAACCACTGTATATACACACATCTTCCAACCACCCGCCTTCTATAATCAAACAGATACTAAAATCGATTAACCGCAGGCTTTCCAACAATTCTTCCAATGAAACCATATTTAACGAAGCTAAGAAAGACTATGAAACAGCCCTAAAAGATTGTGGATTCTGGTAACACTCACATATTCACCGCAGAGCACAAAAAATGCCAACAGGAAGAGAAATACCATGTTGTTCAACTCACTGTACGGCAAAAACGTAAAAACAAACGTAGGTAAAATATTCTTCAAACTCTTAAACAAACACTTCCCGGAATAAAATACTCAATAAAAACAATGTAAAAATCAACTACAGTTGCACCGAGAACATGGCACAAATAATAAAAAAAAACACAACAGGAAAACTATCAACAAATGACCCAAACAAATTAAAGCCACGTGTAACTGTAGAATAAAGAATGAATGCCCCTTAAGCGCTAATCGCTTACAAAAAAACGTAATATACCAAGCCACGGTAAAATCACCAGATAATGAAGAAAAAGTATATATAGGAGTAACTGAAGGACTCTGGAAACAAAGAAACTATGCACACAAAACATCTTTCACAAATAGTAAATACACGGACAGCACAATACTTTCTAAGTATATCTGGGAAATTAAAAACAAAATGCAAATTACACCAAAAATATCTTTGAAAATAATGAAAAAGATCATCAACCTACAACAATCAATCCAAAACCTGCAAACTTTGCCTGGAGGAAAAAATAGATATTATTACCTTCCAAGACCAAAATAAATTACTAAATAAACTATCTGAGCTCATCTCAAAATGCAGACACGAAGACAAATTTTTAATACGTTACTTAAAAATCGAAAACTAAAAAGAATAAATAATAATAAACAAAATAATATAAAAAACAAATAAAATAAATTAACCCAAGCAAATAATAAACAAATTAACGAAATAGAATAAATAAAAATAAATACATAAAATACAATCAATCCAAATAAATAAAGTAAACAATAAACAAATTAACAAACTAATAGACTTCGACAATCAATCCAAAAATTGGACGAGAAAATAGCTATGACTGCTATATAACGATAAAAATCCCCGAAAAACGAATAGAGTAAATAAAATTATACAAAATAAAAAATAAGCAAATAAATAAGAAAAAATATGTAAAAATTAATCCAAATAAATAAATAAATTAACAAATGAACAAATCGCTTCAGCTAAAATAACCGTTAGAACTAATAAAATAAACATGAATAAGCAAAAACAAGTAAAAATAGTCAATCCAAATAAATAAATAAAATAATAAACAAATTAAAAAATGTCCCCCGCCAAAATAGCAGAATAGACGACGGCAATTAATCCAAAAATTGGACGAATAAATATCTTTATCTTCCCAGGCTAAAACAAACTATTAAATAAGCAGCCTAAAGAAATCTCTAGAAATTTTTTTACATCGAAAACTGAAAAGAATAAATAAATATATAAAATTAAAAATGAAAATAAAAAACAAGTAAAATAAGTTAACCCAAATAAATAAATAAAACAACAAGCCACTCCCGCCAAAATAACCGCCAGAATGGATTACCCACAATGCGCCACTGACCCATATATATATATATAAACAGTCAAGAAAAAGACCCGCGGCCTGACGATTGCGTCTAGCATGATACAGCCTGTTGCCTCTGAGTGTTGACTTCAATGTTCACTTATATATATATATATATATATATATATGGTTGGATAGATTTGAGTTTGTGACCCTGGGTTTCACGCTTTAGCGATCGTCAGACAAACTGATTAATTTTTTAAAAATTTTCGGTTTATGTAGATTGCGTGTATTAGTGTTATTGTGGAAGTGGTGGGGGAAACGTCGTCGTTTTGAAATCGTACTAACGCAAACATCGATGTATGCAGACACATATACATACTTGGTCGTCCGTCGGGACTCATACATATACAAACATGTGGGCAGTTTCGGATATGACATATGTATGTATACGGGTAGTGTTGTGTCTATACATACGCATTTGTATGTTGAAATTCAAAGATTGGGAGTCTAGCGAAAATTTCTCGTGAATGTCTCGTGAATGTATACATGTCATATTTTTATTTTTTCAGTGAATAAATTTCCTCGCATGTATGCATATACATGTGGTGGGGTTTGTGTAAAATTTTGATAGGTAAAAATTATTATTATTTATATTTATTTTTAAATTTTTGAAAAAAATGGGGGTTATTTGTTATATTTAAAGCTGGTTATTTGTTTGTTTTTGATGACTGTGTATATGTAACAGGTAGAAATTTGTAATCCTTATTGGTTATTTTATATGGTGATGTTTAATATTTAATATGCTGGGTGAGAGGGTAGTTTATGTTAATAATTATAGCAGGTCTATATGATATGATGTGATAGTAATGTTGCAAGGGATTGGAGACAATGATAATATAATTAGCTAATAGTTATTGTAAATTGGTAGAAGTGATTAGTAACGGTGGTGGGAGAATGATAAAACCATAAATGTAGTTATAGTGGTGGTAGCTTGAACTAAAAGTGGTTGTTGGTGTTTTATTTTATTTTGTTATATGTATTAATTTATTTTGGTATAAATCCTGATAATAGGTATTCTGTGTAAAATTATGATAGTTGAAGGTTGCTATAATTTTTATTTTTAATTTTTAATTTACAAAAACACTTTTGTTATTATATTAAAGCTGGTTATTTCCTTGTTTTTTTAGTTTTTTGATGACTGTGTATGTGTGACTGGTAGAAATTTCAATTTGTAATCCTTATTGGTTATTTTTATGGTGGTATTAAATGTGCTGGGGGAGTGGGTAGTAAGTATGGCGGGTTTATATGGTAATAGTAGATGTGGTGTGATAGTAATGTGTGAGGGTGTTGGTGACAATGATAATATAAGTGGTTAATATTTATTGTAAATTGTTAGTAGTGATTAGTAATGTTGGTAGGAGAATAATAAAAACCTATAAATGTAATTATTGTGGTGCTAGCTTGAACTAAAGAGTGGTTGTTAGTGTTTTATTTTTTTTTATTTTCTATATTTATTTGTTTATTTTTATTTATTATGAATCCTGTGATGAGTATTTATTCTCATGGCTACATATGGAAATTATATCTGATCTTATTGTTTTAAGATATTAAATATGCTGGCGGAGTAATATACGTTAATGACAGTAGGTGCGATGTGTAAGTGATGGTGCTGGGTGTTGGTGGTAATGATAATATTATTAGTTAATAGTTATTGTAAAGTGGTAGAAGTGATTACTAATGGTGGTGCAATGATAATAACGATAGATGCAATTATTGTGGTGGTATCTTGAAATTAAATTGTGATTGTTGGTGGTTCGTCTTTTTTATCCGTTTGGTATGAATTCGGATAATAGGTACTTGTTCTCATGCCTACATTTGGAGATTATCTCTGATTTTTTGTTTAGTAAATTCTTTTGCGGTTCGTGTGATATTATTGCTACTTTTTCGTGTAGGCAAAGTAGGCATTTTTTGTAATGTTGCTGTAGGCAGGGGCTTTTTTCAATATTTCCCAACTTGTTGTTGGTGTGATATTTTTGTCTTTTTGCTGCCATATGTATGTAGAAAGTGTAGTGCTGTTCGAATATTTCCTGTTGGTGAATGAAAGGTTGCGATTGAATGGACCTTCGGTGGCATCGATGTAGTGCATTATGTTGTTGTTTGCACTTACCTTGTCCTTGTATATTGTGTTCGTAAGTTGGCAATTTCCCTGGAGTGGACATGTTGTTCTGTTTCTGCAGTTGCATATTGGATCCTTGGTTTCATTTTTGTAGGTTCCATTTTTTTTATTATTTCTGTTATGTTTGTTGTGCAGCTGTAACTGATCTTTACGTTATTTTTGTTAAATATTTTTGATAATTTGTTTGTTTCAGTGAAGTGTTTTTCTATTAAGTTTAGGAATATCTTGCCTATGTTCGTTTTAACGGTTTTGTTATATGGTGGATTAAACCAGATAATGTTTCTCTTTCTGTTTTTACGTTTTGGCTGTGGAGGTATATATTGTAGTTGTTGTGTGTAACCACTTGCTTTTAGTGCTTCGTTGTATGGTGCTTTATTGCTATTGAAAATGTGTATGATAGATGAGTTCTCAGATAGTCTGCGGCTGATTGACTTTTGTATTTGTTTGATGATAGAAGGTGGATGGTTGGAGGATGTGTGTACGTAAGTTGGGGTGTCATTTTCTTTTTTGTATGATTCATATGTGTTGTTGATCAGGTTAAGAGTGACGTCAAGGAAGTTTACTATTGTTGTGCCTGTATTTATCTCTATTTTGAATCCAATATTTTTTAGGGCGTTCACTATTTTCTTTCTGAATTTGTCTACTTTAGAGCCATTGGATTCCCTTATTAAGATAAGACCGTCATCTCTGTATAATCCTGTGTCCTTTCTCTCCAGGATTCTGACCAGGTATGATAGGATGAGTATGCCTACTAATTCGCATAATTCTGCTCCATCGTAGCTACCCAATGTTACGTCAAACAGGTTGTAGTTTTGTTTCTTTGCCCATAACTGGCACAACTAAATGTAAAACTTACGGACGGAGATATAAAAATAATCAAGCATTGCCGCAAATCCCTGCTGTTCCACAACAATAACTATTAACTAATAATATTATCATTACCACCAACACCCAGCACCATCACTTACACATCACACCTACTATTAACATATAACTCCACTACAATCATTAACGTATATTACTCCCCCAGTATATTTAATACCTTAACACCACATCTACCATTAACATATAATCCTGCCATAATTATTAACGTAAACTACCCCCTCTCCCAGCATATTTAATACCACCATAAATAACCAATAAGGATTACAAACTGAAATTTCTACCAGTCACATATACACAGTCATAAAAAAAAACAAGGAAATAACCAGCTTTAATATAATAACAATAATGTTTTTTTTAAATTAAAAATTAAAAATTATAGCGATCTTCAACTATCATAATTTTACACAGAAAACCTATTATCAGGATTTATACCAAAATAAATTAATACATATAACAAAATAAAATAAAACACCAACAACCACTTTTAGTTCAAGCTACCACCACTATAACTACATTTATGGTTTTATCATTCTCCCACCACCGTTACTAATCACTTCTACCAATTTACAATAACTATTAGCTAATTATATTATCATTGTCTCCAATCCCTTGCAACATTACTATCACATCATATCATATAGATCCGCTATAATTATTAACATAAACTACCCTCTCACCCAGCACATTAAATATTAAACATCACCATATAAATTAACCAATAAGGATTACAAATTTCTACCTGTTACATATACACAGTCATCAAAAACAAACAAATAATCAGCTTTAAATATAACAAATAACCCCCATTTTTTTCAAAAATTTAAAAATAAATATAAATAATAATAATTTTTACCTATCATAATTTTACACAAACCCCACCACACGTATATACATACATGCGAAGAAATTTATTCACTGGAAAAATAAAAATATGACATGTATACATTCACGAGACATTCACGAGAAATTTTCGCTACACTCCCAATCTTTGAATTTCAACATACAAATGCGTATGTATAGACACAACACCACCCGTATACATACATATGTCATATCCGAAACTGCCCACATATGTTTATATATGTATGAGTCCCGACGGACGACCAAGTATGTATATGTGTCTGCATACATCGATGTTTGCGTTAGTACGATTTCAAAACGACGACGTTTCCCCCACCACTTCCACAATAACACTAATACACGCAATCTACATAAACCCAAATTTTTAAAAATTAATCAGTTTGTCTGACGATCGCTAAAGCGTGAAACCCAGGGTCACAAACTCACATATATCCAACCAAATATGTTAGCTCTATCTCTGATATTGAGCGCTTTCTAATAAGTACCGCGCATATAATATATAAATAATTATACATATATATATTTATTTATATTTATATACACTTTTCACACACACACACACATATATATATATATATATCACATTACATCTTTCCGACTGACCATAGCTCACTTAGGTCTCCTTTATATACACATGGAGACCTACAAACTCCATCCGTAACATACTCGTTGATAATTTCTTATATATATAATATATATATGTGTGTGTGTGTGTGTGTGTGTGTGTGTGTGTGTGTGTGTGTGTGTGCGCGCGCGTGTGTGTGTGCTACCTTTAATATTTAAGAAAATATTTGATTACAAATAAGAAATTCTTGTGACACAGAAGCCTATGGGTGTGTTCATGTTAGAAGTTGTCGTAAGGGCTTTGCGGCAAATACCAAATTGGTACGCTCACTGGTTGACATATCGATTACACTGTTTAGCTGCGAAATGAAGCAGGTGTGTATATATTGCAGCCATCAAACAGTAAAACATCGCCAACCAGTGACAATTAAAAAAAAAACTAGTATAAAAAAGGTATCACGTGCGACCACACCCTAGTATCGCAGCGTTGTTCCTCGTTCACGCGCTCCACCCTGAAACTGAGCAGACGAGAAGAAAAAGTCCTTCTTGTGAAGACGTTTCGCACCTTTTTGTTGATGAAGGATAATTTGTCAAAAGATTGGCAACGGAATTACAATTTGCGAAAACCTCATACAAGACATGAAGATATTTGATACACGAAATAACGATCTGTTATTTATCCTGAGTGATGACTGGCTGTTTAGCACCTTAAGGTATCAGATCATCCGATATTAAACGGTCATCGGATGGTCGTGTTATGGCTTAAGGATTGAACCTACCAGTCCCCAGACAGTGGAGATTTCTATTTCCACTTTGGTTCTATCTATCTATCTATCTCAGTCTGTTCATGACTATCTATGTATCTATCTCAGTTTGTTCATATCTATCTCAATCTGTTCATATCTATCTATCAGTTTGTACATACCTATATATCCATCTATCTCAGTCTATTCATATCTGTATATTCATCTATCTCAGACTGTTCATATCTATCACAGCCTGTTCATATCTATCTATCTATCTATCTATCTCATTCTATTAATATGTATTTATCTATACATCTATCTATCTACCTAACTACACACACACACACACACACACACACACACACACACACATATATATATATATATATATATATATATATATATATATATATATATATTTCAGTCAGTTATCTATCTACCTACCTACCTATCTAAGTCTGTTAACTTTATAAGGTTTTCTTACTTGTACTTTATTTAATCAGACACACATGCACACACACACACACACACAACTTTTTTGCCTTCCATCAGCATGGCTGATGCTGCACCTTCTTAGTCTCACGTCTACCAACAATGTCAAGTGAAATGATTATATTCTTAAAAACATTCTTCTTCCTCCCTGCTTTCTAGTAAACTAAGACCTTCCAATATTTAAATGCAATGCCAATCGTTATCTTGATTCCTGTTTTTTTATTGTCTACTCTGTTTCTTCCACTCTCATTAACACTTTGCATCATAGTGACTTTATTGTCTTGCATGGACCGAAATGTGTATATATATATATATATATATATATATATATATATATATATTGGGTTGAGTCCAAAAATTATATAATATATTTTCTGTTTACACGTTATTTTAATAGACCCAATTTATTAAAGTAAATGTTCTCTTTTTTAAAATAAACAGTATTAATTACATTTACCGACCTGAATGTTCTAGAAATTTCGTAGAAAATATGCGTTCTCCGACAGGAATTGAACCTGTGTCCTATATGGAAATATCAGTTAATCTGACGTGTTATACCACTCAGCTACAGAGAAGCATCTGGTGAGCAAAGTGCAAATTACTGTTTATAAACAACAAATCTTCGACGATCTTTACCGAACAATCAATGAAATGTACCTTAACGTAAACATTAACAACATATTATAAAATGGATTAAGTCCGACAATTATTTAATATATTTTCTTTCCAGAAGTCAAGGCAACAGAACTCCTCCTTTGGTCAGAAACATCGTACCCTACTCCTCCCACTTGACTTAGTATAGAATATGATTGTAAGGACGGGGGCTGCAAAGGGCAATTTATCTATTCAAGAAAAAAAAAATCAGGCTTACAAAGGAAAAGAATTTTGGATCAGAGAGAGGGTTATAGATAGGCAGTTTGAAACCTTAGTCCCAGTAACCATTTTGTTTTGTTTTTTTGGTGGGGAGGGGAGTACATAGACTCCTCTGTAACGCAGAAATGTAAGGAAAAAGAACACAGAAATTTAAAGGACATTTAAATACATAAAAATGATGAAATGGGACAATTAAACAATAAAAATAATTAAACAAAAATCCATTGGAGAATACGCAGAAGGATTTTATGGGTAAGATTTTTGACCAGGCAGAGGCAGAATATCAATGGCACTTTCGTGGGAGAGGAGAAGAGTTTCACTAGCCGGGAACAACGAACCATCCTACTAGTATTTTGGGGAATATATATATATATATATATATATATATATATATATATATATATATATATACACACACACGGACAACACAATCTAAACATGCACGTTAGGTTAAACAGTAGAGGTCTAAACAAAAAGTTATTAAATGGCAATGGAAAAGAGAAAATGGAAAAACAAAAAATGCAATAATAACAAAAACTTAAATATTTACAAACAATTTTCATGGCAGAAGGCTTTCGAACTCACAAGCGAATCTTCACTGGCTTCTTTCCAATCTCTGACGCAGATTTGATTTGAATGGTCGTTTAGCGAAAATTACAAGCGATTCTAACGCAAAAATAAAAATAAAAGAAAAATAGACAAGTGTGAGGAAAGAAAGGTTTCTTTCCTTCCCCTTGTCTGTTTTTTTTTTATTTCAAAAATGTATCATTCATTGATTGTTTGAAAAATCCTTTAAATTTAATTTTCCAATGTGAAAATGTTCATTTATATAATTGCATCTTAATTCCGATTCTATGCACGCTTAAAATGCCATAGGTAATTTTTATTTCATGTGAACTCTAAAAAACAGCAGCTCTCAATCTTCAAGACCTACAAACAAATCACAAATGAAAAATGGAAAAATATTCCGGGTTAAAAGAGCTCCCATGAAATAAAAATCATTACCTATGGGATTTTAAGTGTTTCATATTCTTTAATTAATAATAATTTGGCTCTGTCTTTTGACATAGAGCTCTCCCTGGATCTACATTGAAACATAAAAGTTACGTTAAACACTGTAGGTCGGTAGGGAGGAGGGATGAATAAAAATATTTAATTATTAAATACCAACATATATATAAAAGTGAACATTGAACATCAGTCCTGACGACTGCGTCTAGCATGAAACAGACTGTCGCCTCTAAGTGTTGACTTCAATGTTTACTTTTATATTTACACACGCTCTATATCTGATATTGAGCACTTTATCCAATAAATATAGCACACCTTAAGAGTATATTTCTTCATATATATATATATATATATATATATATATATATATATATATACGCACACACACACAGAGAAAGACATAGATAGATTAATACTTACAGTGCTATCTAGATAGATAAATACATTGATTGACATAAATTTTAGTAAGTATTCAACGTATGGCCATGAAAAGTTCTTGGCTCAAGTTCTTCTCTAAATTAGTATTTCAATGACAAAATATCAGAATTCTGATTTGGCAAGTCGAGAACAGGCCCAAACCGTTTCAATAGACTGTTCTTGTAGATGAATTAACGATCAATATTCGTTTGACTGTTGTTTGTATGAGATGAGCTACGACACCAGCTGCTGTTGAAAACGTGGCGCGAAGAAACGGTAGAAAACAATGAACATGGTTGAATGTGACGGGAAATAAGGAAGTTGATTATGAGGCGGTAGATAACAATCATCCTATGATATGCAAATGTGGGCTTTTATACGCGAAGTCATTAACATTAACATGGAGAAAGATAGACAGACATAGAAACAGACCAACATAGCTGAAAGAGAACTATAATATAAGCTATATATATATAACTATATATATATATATATATATATATATATATATATATATATATGTATGTATGTGTGTGTGTGTGTGTGTGAATAAATATATAGAGAGAGACAGATTGATTAGTGGTGTTGAGCGGTCTCTGACTGCGCACGCCTTCTGTCGAACTCTCTGCGTTAACAGAGAGGAACCCGGACGAGGCTTTGCCGAAGGGCAAGGTTTCGTCCGGGGAGGTAGACAGGGCCTGAACCCGTCTAATCGGCTTCAAAAGGCTATTTTTTTGGCCGAGCCTACGGGCTCGGGGATACCCACAATAAAACCGGCCTTGTGCCATATTCGTTTCCCGTGGGTGAAATGATAAATACTCAGATTGATTAATCGATTGATTCGTTTTCTGCAGCTTATCAACCCTTTGCAGGTTATTTAAAGCCAGAAAATATTTTAGATTATAGATTGTAATAATACATTACATTAGTAAGACTTGTATCACTAAATCATTATTATCTCCTCTACCCACCCCCCAGCAGGGGGAAATAATAATGAGTTAGTGATACAAGTCTTACTATTTAACCCATAGCTGGGAAGGGAGAACGGATTTTTTCATGCCTATTTCCAAAGATATTTGTGTGTAAGGGAATATAATAAACCCAACTTGAATTAGAACTCGGCTCTCCGATGAACTATTCCGAGCCGTTATCCATTGCACCAGCGCACATACAAGCTTACACCAACTTATGACAAGCGGTCCCACATCTAGGTACAGACTAGGGCCGACGTTGCTTAACATTGGTGAATTTCAACGTGATATGGCCATTATATATATATATATATATATATATATATATATATATATATATATATATATATATATATATATATATTTTATTTATTCGAAAACTATATATAAATATGTAATAAAAATCACTAAAAATAGCCATTTTATTTCAACTCTTCTGGTGTTTTATCAAGTGATGGCGTTGATAAGACACCAGAAGTGTTGAAACAAAATGACTATTTTTTGGTGATTTTATAACATATTTATGTCATAATTTTCGAATAAATAATTGTATTTGCTCTACTCTGTATTGAGCACTCTTATAGTATAATATTATAGTACAATAGAATTTGTTGGTTATTGGAATTTATTCCGTATACACCAAACCTATACTTGTACATATGTATATATAAATATATGACTTGAAGATTGCGTTTGAATGAAAGACTGTTGCCATTGGGTGTTCACTTCACTGTCAACTTTTATATTTACTTACCCTCTATCCCTGATATTGAACACTTTAAACCACAAATATGGCATATCTTAAAATTATATTTTTATTTTTTATATTTACAGCATAACTTAAAATAGTACGTTCATCCCAATTATTGAGCACTTTAAGCCATACATAAAGCATACCTTAAAATTATATTTTTACTGTAAGGGAACTGCAAGAAATTGGTATGAACATCACCCAGACTCGGTTACAGTAGAATGAACCTAAAACAATTTTAGGGATTTTACAATATGTTATGGTCCGGTTCCTTGTACCACGGTGATAGTCCAAGGTAGAACCAATAAAGAAGAACTCGAACACGGATATGGAATAACACAGATATATTACAAACAGGAATATATACAGAGAGGTAGAAAGTGTTAGTACGAACAGTCAGGTTTAGTAGTAATTGTCTGAACGCGACTCTGTTTCGGACTGCCTCTTACTCGACTGACTGACTCGCTCGCTCTGACTGACTGCCTCTGACTCGACTGACTGACTCGCTCTGACAGACTGACAGACTCCTGACGGACTTCCGACGGACCTCACTCCAGACTTCAGACTGAACTCTCTGCTTCCTCTTGAGGCGCAGTATTTATTACGTATGGAATAGTCCATTATGTTATTATGGGGAAGGTTCCATAACACAATACAGGCAGACAGAAGAATCAAAGCTAATCGACCAGACATTGTGATCAAAGACCACCAAAAACAGAATTTGCTTCTCTTATTGACATGGCACTCCCTGCAGATTGTAATATATCTTTGAAGATCTTCAAAAATTATCAAAATACAAAGGAATCTGAAATGTGA